CGCTCTCGCGCGCCCGCGCGAGCCGCGGGCAGCCCCCCCCTGCCTGTGGCCGCTCACGCAGACCTGCTGGGGAGGCACCAAGGTGTCCTGCGGGTGGTACTGGCCTGCTCGGCCGAGACCACCCCCGGGCCCTCGCATGGACCCTTCTGTGCAACGGGCCTGGCTGAGGCCGGGGGGGCTCGTGACATAAGTGGATCCATGTGACTTTGGAAAGACGGATGTTTTCATCCCCCTTCCGCTGCTCCGGGCCAGACAGAGTCCCTGTAGGGCGGGGAGAGAGGGAGTTAACCCTGTGGGCGCTGGCTGAGTCTCCTCCACAAGGCACCTGCTGATGGCTGGGTTTTGGGGGGGCCCTGTTGGCCTTGCTAGCGGGGGTGGGTCCCCTGCAGGGAGGCCCCGCAGACGGGAGGGGTTAGAACAAATTCCCGTGGCTGGAAGGGCTCAGCGCTCGTGGCTTCCGCTTGCCACGGGGCGCCAGGCAGCGCTGCCCGAAAGACAGGTGGAAGCAGAAGTGCAGCGAGCTGGCGATGGAGCCAGGGACGCCCGGGCTGGCTGGGGCTGCACCGGGGAGAGGCTGGGGAAGGATGAGGTGTCTGGGGAGGGGCTGTGCGGGGCAGGAGGGAAGGCCGAGGAAGAGGGTGACGTGTACAGAGCGCAGGGAAGGGCTGAGGGGCAGGATTTCCTGCCCGGGTAACTTTTGGAGACTTAGGAATTGTTTCCCGCCCTCACCGCGCCCAAAAGGCCAACGCGAACGGTTCCAAGGACCGACGGCCTCACCCCCGTCAGTCTGCGTCGGGCGACACTGGAGGGCACGTTTCCTCCCGAGTTCACTCCTAACGTTTCATTTATAGTAAATAAAATCTCCCCCCCCTCTCCAAAATTGCAAGATGCAAAACCATGTGGAGCCAGCAAAGAAAACCCCCGGGAATAGGGTGGCCAGGTGCCCAGTTTGGAACCAGACAGTCCGGGATTTCGGCTTTCTGTCCGGGAAAGAAATGGAGAAAACCCCGGACAGAGAAATGTCGGGTATTTTCTATTTCAGTCCATTGTATTGTTTTCAGGAGTGTCAGTACGTAGGGCACTGCCGGCATGTCTCCCCGCCAGGCGGTACGCAGCTGCGCAGTGCAGAGGAGGGGGGCAGGGGC